AGCATTGTTTAGAGGAGAGGGACAGAATTTCTTCCTTTCTTCCCCACCAAAGTGGTTCCTCGAATTCAGATTGCACAATGAGAAACTGTTTATAGAGGATTCCACCCTAGATTTCCTGGCTGAATCAATCTGTATGCTGATTTGCATTTGTGTTTGCCTACCTCATAAATTGCACAAACCCCACCCCTATTCAATACACACTGTATATCAGTAATGGCATAACTTCTTACACCAAAATATGGCTTGCATCACACCTCAGTGGTAATTCTATGACCATTTGGTTTCAACTGAAATGCTTTATTTAAAATTCACGTCATCTTCCCTGGATATACTTTCCTACACTTGTAGCTTAATACTTCTGCTACAGAACAAAGTAAACATTTGGTCTGATTTGCAGCTAACCTAAGAAGGATTCTAATTAGAGCAGCCGTGCTCTAAATGGTACAAGATCTCTGAAGCTGATTACATGCTTATATGTGACATCTTTACCGTAACTATAGAAAGCACGAGAAAAAAAATGCATTCCTCTGCTCACGAGAAACCTCTGTGATGCTATAAAATGCAGCAGAGTTCCAACCATTTGCTACTTCTATTGCAGTTGCACAATCAGTAAATAAGAGTTCACGTTTAGTATTTTACACAGCTTTATAACATGCCCAAATATCTTCCTCTTAAGCAATTATAGCTTATGTAGAATTTGATCTCTTTGGGAGTTGTCTGTTGAAATGTTTTTAATGAAAATTTGAGTTTCATAACATTGACGCACTGATGTCTTTTACTTCTGACTGTTGACATTGACAGGCTAAAAAACTTGATTTTTGGGAAGGGAGAAAATTGCATTAGTTGAGCTTATTTGGAGAATCTCTGTTTGCTGAATTAATTTGCTAAGCTTTGTTTTTCTGCTGAATATTAAACCCTATTTTCCAACTGTGCATACACTGCCTGAGGGGAATAACTCCCACTCTCTTTTTCCATGACTACATTTTCTTATAACACAGCCCAGGCCTGAGTGAGGGGGGCTGCGCAGAGCTGATACCGTAGGCTGTGCTAGGGGAAGCATAATCTGGTCAAAAAGCTGCTGCCTTGTACTCCCCAGACTCTGGTATTTCACCTCAGCAGCTGAATGAGAAGTGTCACAGTTTTTTCCTAAGCATTGTTTTGCTTAATTCAATTGATGTGGTGAAACCTGTCTCTCCAAGTGATGACTTGCTGAGTAGCTAGAGCTTCACAGAGTATCTAGATTAGCAGCAGTATGCAAACAATTGTGAGTGCCTTGGTAGTTGTGTCTTTACTCCTACCCTCCTATTCACAACAGAGATATAAAAATATCTCTAAAGCATGTTACCAGTTTCAAGGTGACCTTATTAGCTCTGTTTCACCCTCCCACTAAATATTTGAAGAACATAATTGTTGTTTTCTTTCTCCCCTGAAACACACTCAAGCATGAGGGAGCTGTGTGGTATACTCTGCCTTTATCTGAAATAAGCTCTGAAATTTAAAGCAGCACAGATAAAAGCTCCATTGGGAAGAGGACAAGTTTCATCGGTGTCCCTGCCCTCATCTGTTGTTGGGAGTTACTCATGTGGGAAGCAGCCAAATGGCCCTGCCAGCTGATGCATCAGTGCTTTGCCGTGTTTTTTGTTGCTGCTGTTGGGATTGTGAAAGGTTGTCAAAGACAGAGAGCCTATCTTCCACAGTTGTGTAACATCCACTGTCCAAGGCACTCCAAGTTCCTCTCTGACACCTTTAAATTAAGTTTCACTGCCCCTGTGTGATTTGGTATTATCTCCATTATAGAGAAGGGGAGACTTGGACAGAGACAGATGAAACTGTTTGCTGAAGGTCACACAGCAATTCTCTGGTGGTGCTGCTTCGCTGCTCTCCAGCACTGCTTCAGAATCAAGGTTGTTCTTTCTCCCTCAAGGGTGAGGAAGGGAGGTTTATTAGCCCTTTTTTATTTCCCAGCCTTCTCTTTCTGTGTTTATCAGAGTGAAATTTTCTGGTCCAGTGAAGCGAATTGGCTTCAGACATCTTGTCAAATTAACCTTTCTTGTCTGTGAGGCTGTGGGGCTGTGTGGCAGAAGTCAGCAGATAGAGCCATAGGCATGCTGGTAGCATCAGAGAGCTTTGTCAGGAGTGCTTATGAGACCCGTAGGGATTGGCAAGGTGAGAAATGGTCTATTTTAGACTTGTATTTCAGTCAAGTATAAGATAAAATTTATACATAATGATATATATATATAGCTCATGCTAGCTGAAAACAGACTGATCCTTTCCTCCATGTACCATCCAGCTCCACCAATGCTCATGAGTGCTCTCATCTGCGGTGAAGAGGATGGTTGGCATCACACAGAGCCGTTTATACAACCTTATATGTTTAATGTTGGCACTGATGAGTGATGCTCAGAGACTCTCCAGCCACAGGTTAGCTGCTGACAGAAATGCCCAAGTGTAGGGTACCTGCTACAAATAATCGGGCAGAAACCTGGTGCATACTTCATGCCTTCATCTTCCACAGGCCAGTAAAAATAATGACAATGGAAAAGTCTAATAAATACCAGCAAATCCCATACATGTGTTAAATCCCTAACACATTCTGTGTAACAGTATGTTGGTAAACTGTCATAAACTACCTGCTGTAGGGTTCTTTCTCAATTAATAACATAGCCCTGAAGCCAAAAGCCCTTTACCCCGCTTTCAATGTACTGAAATGGGAAATAAAATCATTCTGGACAAATGTAGGGAGTAGAGCTGTCAGCAACTAGTCAGGAGAAAAGGCAGATCTAGTTTGTTAGGCATACATTACACTGTGTAGCTAACAGTGACAGCGGATACATAAATTGCTTTGGCTTTCTCAGGGACATATTGACCCAGAATCTACAGAGAGGGAAGAATAACAGTTCCCTTTACTGATGCAAAATAAGACCAGATTGAAATAGCAGTGACTGCCATAAAAACCCAACATTTTGTGTTCTCACTATGACTCCTGTTGGGCAGAAGTTAGTTCATCAAAGCTTGCTTATTTGGGAGTGAGAAAATATGAGGAATGCTTAGTTTTATCAGTTCCTGACTCCTAGCCTGTTGAAATGAACTATCGAAGGGCTCTTATTCCCTGCCTGCTAGATAGGGAAACCTAAAGGATATTTAATAAAATATGCAGAAAGTGAAGGGTGAATCATTTGCAGCGAAGTGTCTAACTCTTCAAAGTTAAGATGAAAAGCTTTGGTGAAAGGGAACTTTGTGCTTGATGTTCCCTCTTTACTTTTCTCAACACTTGAAGCTCTAATAATCACTTTTTTTCAGCTTTGTCACTGTATTACTTATGTCATGAAACATTTCCATACCTAGCCAGAAATTTGGGTGGTAATATCTGCAAACATTGGAAGCAGAACACAAAAGCTGGTAGAAAGGGTCAGATCTTCTCTTTTTAGTGGACTGATCAGCAAATAACCTTGCATAAGGTTCAGGTAAAGAGGAAGATGTGGTATTAATTTTCATAGTGTTTGGGTTGGAGGAAAAGTAGAATTATTCTTATCACAAGTTAACTGTAGGTACCCAGCTCTCATGTAATGTATTGAATATCTCAGGATATTTTCATCTTTGTGACTTCATTCCTACTGAGAATTTGTTCAGGGCATGTGTTAACTTAAAAATGACATGTAAACAAGGTGTGAACAGATCAGTTAAGTGATAGCCTGAGGTTAAAAACACAGTGATCAAATTCAGTGTCTGAAGTTGGCAGAGAGCTTGCCTTACCACCTTGGGAAGGCTTGAAATTAAACTTGTTTTGAAATGTAGGTGTTAAGTTTGTGGAAAAACTCACTTGCACATCCCTAAACAAAGCTGACTTTCCAGATTTGAAGAGAGCTCATTAAGCTCTCAGGCTGCCTTTACAGGAGAGAGGGGCTGTGCTCGCACCGCACAATCTTTCTTGCTGAGGTTGTGTTTTGTAGGATATGTGAGGAAAAAATCTTCATCTGAAATCAGAGCTGTACTCCCTGTCTGTCTGCCATTGGCCTCTGCTCCCTGTCACTAGCAGTGGGCAGGGCTGTACTGTCAACTGCACAAGCTAACAGAGCCAGCAGCTCTGCGTTTATTTTTGTTGGGCTTTTGAGACCTTACTAACTTGAAGGAAGTTTTTGGAGATATCAGATTTCTTACGTTCAGCTGTGCTTATGTTCAGCTATTTGTTCTCCCTGGCGTTGCCTTCAAGCAAATGCAGGGGAAGTAGCCTCAAAAGGAGCAAAAATCCCTTCCCATTTTAGAGTAAATGGAAGGAGGATTAAGCTCCTTCCCCCAGTAATCAGATCATCTGATTGATATGGCTTTTGAAGATGATTATATGTTTTTCTATATCTGATGGATTTTGTGTGTTCATGTGAAGTAAAAGTTAACTTGACTGTGAAAATGTAACTAGGTTTTCTCTATGATAGTTTTACCTTTGGTTGTTTACTTTGTATGATGGCTGCAGATCATACATCCAAGCCTACAGCATGAGGCAGTGGCAATCATTCTGAAGCTGTCCTGTCTTATGCTCTTCTCAAGCCGTAGGCTGTTGGTAACTGTCTGTGACCCTTTGGAAAATGGAAGGACTCCAAAGGTCACAGCACCAAGGATTCAAACGAAAGTGGGATAAGAGGGGGGAAGTGGACTGGATGGGAAGGACTTTAAGCTGACTGCAGTATAGAGGCTAACCCAATTCACGTGTGGACCAAACAACACCTTTCTGTCACCCCAAGCAGCAAAAAAAAGGACAAGTGCAATTGGATTGTAAGTTTCCAACTGACAATTTCCAAGCTTGTCTATGTTGTCTTGTGGTTTCTGGTCTCAAGGTTTAAATGTAGGAAGCAATAGCTGTGTCTCTAGGTCTGTGTGTGTGCAGTAATACACATGGTATATTTGAAGCCCATCTTACCAGCAGGGCTCCAAATAACTCATAGTATATAAGTATTACAGTCACCATTTTGCATAAAACACTAAGTCTTCCTTCCTTTTGACAGATTGAAGACATCATTACGAGAATGCAGGATGACAAAACAGGTGGAGTTCCCATCCGCACTGTCAAGAGCTTTCTGTCTAAAATCCCCAGTGTCGTCACCGGTAAGGACCCTGGGTAGCAGCCAAGAGAGCTTGAGCTGGTACTTGCTGGCTCTAAGCAAACTACTACAGCCACAAAACAAAAAAAGGAATGTAAGAAAAAAAAAATGCCCCTCTCTGCTTATTTTCCTGCTTGTCACTGTTACAGGGTGCAGTACTGAACCAAGATTTCTTAATTCCGTTTAAGCAAGCAAGCATTTATATTTTAGGGGTGCATTATTGAAAAATGTTATATAGCTTTTGTGGCTATCACATTATCACCAGTCAGAGGAATTCGCTGTTATGGGGATAGGACAATATCAGAGAAGAGAAATAAAGAATATAATTCCCAGATATTCTTACTGGACTTCAAGTACAGGTAGAGGAATTTTATGCATGTGTGCTGCTTTATTAAAGCTGTATGTACAAAAGTGAAGACGGTGCAGAAACTGTGAGTCAGAGTATAAAACTGTTCCAACATGTGTTTCCAGGCAGAATATCATCCAGTGCAATAAAGAATTCTGCCATTGATAAATGAGGAGTTTATTCGGGGTGATGTAAATTGCTCGGAGGATTTGTACTTTAGTTTATGGTACATGTTTTCACTAATTTAATACTAGTATTCACTATGGTAGCACAAAACTACTGGTTTCCCGCTCCTTACCAGTAAGCTGTTGTCCAGTATGAGATACCTTGTGATATCTAATTTATGAGGATGTGTATCTCTGTAAATATGACTTTTTTTGTCCTGCAGAGTCTCTTTCCGAATCAGATAAAATCCACACATTGAGCCTGTTTTGGGAAGTTTCCCCTCCTATTTGAAAAGTGAAAGGCTTTGTTCTCTGTGACTGTGCCTTTGTGGCAGTAAAATTCAGATAATCACTAAAAATGCAGAAATTGTGTTGCTGCATATATATAGCACATCAGTAACTCAGAGAAGACTGACAGTTCAAAGTTCTTGCTCTTGGGGTCTTTATGCTGTTGTAAAACAATCGAACAATATCTGTTGTCAATGGGGATTCTGGCAGTGCAGCTGGTATCAAGCCATTGTTCCCTGAAGTAGAGCATATCTGAGCTGATGCACTTCAAAAATATCTTTACAGTGAAAATGGTTGTATGGGGCAGAGTTTGAATGATTCAGGAGTGTGAATTGATATCCTTGCATCAGAAAAAATGTCAAACTTAAGCTACAAGAAGGGAATACAAATCTACAGATTTCTTGGGGAAAGGCAGGGAATATGGAAATTGAAATGAAGTTTCTACTGAACTGAGGTTTAGTACAATTAACCCCATTTTACTGAACAACAGGCTCTTCTGTCTAAAATTGATGTGACTGGTGACTCAGTGTAACTGGCAGTTGCAGGATTAGGATTTTACAGTGTAAAAGACACATAAATCTAGACTGAGGTGTGAAAATTGTGTTACTAAATTGCAGGTTATGGCTGGATTGGGTATGAGCTAACTGTTCTTGAAGGTTCCTGGGGAAAATAACCATTTATCTGATTTTAAAACTCATTCTATAAGCTCAAGTCTGCAATACACAGGCTGGATGTCTTAAGATTAACTCATCTAAACCAGGTTTCTGATATTCCTGTTAATATTCATAGCATTTATTAAACATTTGATCTAGTCATCAAGTCACCACCCGTTACTCAAAAGAAAAAGGAAACAGGTGACTTCACAGCATCTTTAAACAGATTATACTTATCCTTGGGTACCACTCCGGTTGACAGCTCCCTGGTGTGATGGAAACTGCCTTGCACTCTGCTGTTCTGGAACAGCAGCTGCTGTTGCATCATCTTTAAATGGCTGGTTTATACAGCACAGGAAACAGTAAAAAAGATGAAGATAAAATATGAACAAAACCTCCCTTCAAAGCTCACAGAAAGTTCTCAGATTTGGAAGGGAACAAGCTCGGTATCATTCCCTTCAGGTGATTTGGAGGCAGCTCCCTTGTGATGCACCAGGCAGCAAATAAACCCTCTGAGTTTGAGAAGTATGGGAAAATAATGGCTCAGCTGAGAGTCCAGAGTTTTTTCCATTTCTCGTTTCTCCTTTCAGATGCATGGATTTGCCTATTTGTATACCAAAACCAAAAGAATTTTATATAATATTTCAGTATTTGTGATAAATTGGTAAAGAGCTGGAGCACTTGAAGAGGCAGAAGCACCTATGTTTAGGCAGAAGCTGAGGACACTGGGTTTGTTCAGTATAGAGGCAGGAAAGCTGAAAGGAATGAAAGGGTATGGAGAAAGCACAGTCAAAGCCTTTCTCAGGAATGCATGTTGGAAGCATAAAAGGCAATGTACACAAGCTGCAGGAAAAGAAATCCCAACTAGTTTAGGAAGAAAGTTGTTTATAATCAGAGCAGCTGAGCATGGGCCTAGTGGCCTGGAGAAGCTGTGGAACCAGCATCTGGAGGTGTTCAGAAAGCCCTGAACCCAGCTGAACCGAGCAATCTGACCTAACTGTGCAGTTAACCTTGTTTTGGATGGAGGTTAGACTAAATGAACTCCAGAGAATCCTTCCAACTTGAATTATTCTTAGGTTCATTGTATATTCAGTTTTGGTGCTCATCTAATTCCACTCAGTATCATGAACAGAGATCATATTTTTCAGAAACTTTGGATGTCCTCTTGCAAAGAGATTGATTTCTAGACTCTGGCATTCTCAGACAGTTTTCTACCTGAAAAATGGAACAGCAACACTGAGATGTGACTTAGTTGGGAGGCTCACAATGACTGTGATTAACAGGGGGTTATTTTTGCTTGACACTTCTATTTTAATTGCTTGTTACACAGGAGAAATATAAAACCTTAAGAAAAAGAAACATTACAGCAGCACCTTGGTGCTCTAAACAGGCGGCTCTGTTTATAGTACAGGAAGTGAGTGTTTGATTTAAAGTTTGAATACCAGGGAAAGAACCACTCATCTGGTTTGCTTTCATCTCTCCTGATGCCTAAGGTGTGAATGAGGCATTGAGTAACTCAAGGAAAGGAGCCTCCAGGAGTTATCATTAATGGTCCTCTCCTGACAAGAGGAATCGGGGAAAAAAATGAAAAAACCTTTTTGATTGTATGATGAGTCCATGTAGGGATGCAGTGCCAAAGGCACATTTTAATCTGCATTAGAAGTAGATTTGCGTATCCTCTTCCCTGGTTTTGGCTCAAAGTCAAAGGAGGACACAGCTCCCTATTATCTTCTTGGTTAAGTCTCCAGTTTTATGGACAAGGCACAGAGAATAAAAGTAAGATGAAACCAGCCTGCATAACATCTGTGTGCTTGTATCTGACATTTTCCAATGGTAAGTTTAGAGTATGGAATGAAAAACTGACTGAGGACAGGTATTGAGTAGTGTTGTGATCCATGTCCAGATTAGGCTGTCAGCCAATGCATGTGATGGCAGTTGCTGCAATAAATGGGGTTGCACTTCTAGTGAGAAAACAATTTCCTTAGTAATTACAATGTTTCTGTAAATGAATCAACAATTTTCTATTTTTCCCATTCATCAGACTGTTTAAGAACATCTCATTGCACTAACAAGCAACATAACTGGCTTTCTAGTCATCTCTTTGATTTCCATATGTCCTGGGTTCAGCAGTAGCAGTCATTTTTCTCCTCCTTGGTAGCTGGTGCAGTGCAGTGTTTTGACTTTCAGCTCGGGAACAGAGCTGATAACAAGGATGTTTTGGTTTGGCCAAGGACTTTGTGAGCCTCATGCTCTGCCAGGGAGGAGGGGAAGCCAGGAGGAAGCAGAGACAGGATACCTGACCCAAACTGACCAAAGACGTATTCCATACCACAGCACGTCATGCCCAGGATGTAACTGGGAGTGAGCTGGAAGGGCTGGGAGACTGCAGGGTTGGAGGAGGTATCGGTCGGAGCTTGGTCGGGCTTGGGGGGTGAGTTATCGGTCAGCTGGTGCTGAGGTGTTGTATTCTCTTCCCTTGTTATTTCCTTTATCATTATTATCATTGGTGGTATCAGTAGTGATTTGTGTTATACCTTAGTTACTAAACTGTTCTTACCTCAACCCGTGGGAGTTGCATTCTTTTCGATTCTCCTTCTGTCCCTCCGGGAGTAGGGGGATGGAAAGAAGGGGGGGGGGGGGGGGTGAGTGAACGAGTTACCTGACTGGGTTTAAACCACGACAGTTCTTTTTGGCGCCCAACGTGGGGCACGAAGGGTTGAGATAACGACAGATCTGACCAGATTAATAGTCACTCGTCACAATGCTGATTTATTGGCTCTCAGAGTTGTTCTTGTTGATCTCACAGCTTCAGAATGTTGTAACTTACGTAGAGCCGGTATTTGCTGTGTTGGTGTTTATCAAGTGTGGGGCCTGGGCTAAGGTTCTTGTCTCACTGTGCTTTATGGCAATGACTTGTAATACGGGCGGGCTCCAGCAGCAGGGCGGGACGGACGTGGCCGTGGACTTGTACCTGGCCGTCCGGCTGCTCTTCACCGTCCTGGTCCTCACCCTACTCTCCATCTTCGTGAGGCTGCGGGGAGCTGAGGGGGAGCGGCCCCGGGAGCCGGCGGCAGCCGAACCGGCCCGGGAGAGCGGCCCCGGGCACCAAGCGGCGGCGGGAGCGGGGCCGGAGGCCGCGAGGGGACGGCTGCCGGTGGAGGAGGCCGGGGCGGTCGAGGAGCAGAAGGAAGCGGCTGCCGAGCAGCGGGAGAAGGCGGCGGAGGAGCCGAGCCCCGCGGCCGAGCCGAGCCCCGCGGAGGATCCCAGCTCCGCGACGGCCGAGAGCATCCCCCGGAAGCCGCCTGCCGAGCCCCAGGAGGATGCAGGAGACCACGCAGCATTTCCCAGCAAGGCAGAGGAGGAAGAGCTGGACTCAGGAAAAGAGAAGCTGGTGGTGGGAGAGCCGGCAAGCACAGCAGCTACACCAGCCCCAGTGACAAGTACAGCAGCATCAACTGAGAGTTCTGAAGGTTTTGAATGGCCTTTGGGTATCCTTGGGACCTGCCTGCTGATTGTGATGGGGATCAGCATGTTGGCACACACACAGGCTGTG